CTTCATAGTCGTGAGTTTTGCGGTGCGCGTTCGGGAGGATGTCTTGGAAAATTGGCAAATGACCATGAAGAGTGTGAGCATACTTTGTCAGTATGTATGTTAGTTCACGTCCAGGGAGACCCACTAAGAAGTCCAGAATCACACTTCTCGCAGGTTTCCCCGATCATGAAGATTCAACTGCTCCAGAGTTCAAATTTTGGATTTCAACCTCGTGGTAGGGCCCATGTATTAAGGACGTGAAATTCTCGTTGAAGAAGCACGAACCTCCAGGCTCCATGATGTTAGCGATGAGGAGGTCCACTCCTTGACCCAAAGAAATACCCTTTTGGTCGTCTTACTTTTCCTGCCTTACCTAAACAGACCCTTGGCATCATGATGCGTATTCCGTATTTCCCTGCCTGCGAGCAAGGATTGGTTCCGTGCTTTCGATGACTGCGTAGGGCGGACTGCAGGCGACGGACAGCTTCCAGGAGACCATATTCAGTGGAGAACTTCTCGAAAATCCTTCAGGGACCTTACGTCATGCTCTTGAGTCATGCTGGGCTGCTTCAGGCTTAGCTTGAAGGTCTGATTTCAAGAGCTGGGGTCTAATAGCTGGAGCTTCTCAAGACAAAATAAGGCTGTGAAGAGTTGTTGGCCCTTTAGATTCCGCTAGTATGTAGAAGTGGAGTATTGCCAGTTCTCACATTGTGGGTTATACTATGTCTATAGCCGGCTGCAAGACAGGACCCTGAAGAATGCTTGAAATCCTCATGGTTCGTTGTAGGCCGCCTTTGTGAGTATCCTGTGAGGCGCATATTTACCCTACACCTTAAACTCTCTGCCCCGAAGCCCGAAACAATCTCAGATTGAAGACAGAAATTCCTGCAACAATGCTCAGTCTTTCAGGTTCCCAGACTCATCAATTTCAGCTGCATAGACCGTCCAGCTGCGCCGACCAGCGCCTAAATTCTGCGTGTAGTTCCTGTTTGATCATCACCGGATTTCATTCTGGCATGGGCAGGACCCCGGGTGCTGGTTACCTCAGAGGGGAGCGTGCGAACCTCGGCAGCATGTCAAGCTTCCTCCTCTATTTTTCGCATTACAAGTGTCTTCAGGTCAGCGTTTTCTCTCAATCTAAAAGCCCTCATCCCCATGCACATTTGTTCCTCCATGGCACCTTGCCTTTCTGTTCATATCGTTCACTGGAAGCTCTCTAGCGAGCACATGGATAAAGCGCTATTTCATGGGCTTCTCAGCATTTAGAAGCCCATCTATCGACCACACAACCTTTCTACCAGCTGCCTGTGAGTCTGCTTGTACTGGGCTGCGGTTGAGGAACTTCGATGGCACAAAACCTGGTTTTGTTACACTGGTAAGTTAAGTTCTCGAATACAGCAACCCAGGCGACCAAATTGAGTTCTTCACCGTGCCTGAAGGTCAACTATTCACAATGCACTCATGTTGGAGCCTAAACATTTCCCAGTACCACATGACCTGAACCTGGAAAGTAAGTGGAACAACAGCCTCTTTGCCTCGTTTAATGCTTTGAGGTCCAGATTCTTCAGGCCTCTACATATCTCACAGCAAAGCAGTAACATGGCAGTTTCTTTTAAGAATTACCTTTGTAAATAGAATTCTCACATCGGATCCCCACATCCCCGCTTATGTCCACCAGGTCTCGACAAGCAACCCATATTCATAAGCCGCCGCAGCTTTGAATGGCCAAGATGATGCCAATGCGCAGGCTTCGAGGTTGCGTCGATGGGGGAGACGCGCCTCGCGACACGCATCGCGCCCTGGCATTCGCCTGGACGGGACCTCCTGCCGAATCATGGTACCTCGATTTTGGAGCGGGAAGGTTTTTAGAATGAAGTTTTGGGGTTGTGATGTAGGGTATGGAGTTTAGCATCTACGGCTTTGGATGTGGGATTGGAGGCTTGATTTGCAAGATTGAAGGATTTTGAGAGCAGCTTGCAGGACACAGCCAACTTCGCAACTGATTGTAGGGATGGTCCGTGCCGTCACCAAAGTGAGTAGTATTTAAAGGTACGCATTATAGAGTAAGATTCTACCCTCCTTTTGGTATATCATTAAAGAATATAATCTTACTGGGTTCAGCCACCAAAAACGCTACTCAAGTTGGGACTCTTTAACAGTATGCCGGGCCAGAGTTTTGAGAGATATCAAGCCCAGCCTCGTTCAACAGCTAAACTGTGGTGGGCTTTTACAATATAACCCCTATAGGTTTAGGGTTTAGGGTCCCTATAATCCCCGTAGTTTCCATTTTATTTCCCATTATCCCTAAATAACCCCTATATAATCCCTATAATCCCTGTAGTTTCCATGTTATTTTCCATTATTCCTATATAACCCTAAGATAACCCTTATAAACAGCGACCCTCGCTCCCATGAGTTTACCTGGACAATGCTGAGGCATCGAGTTGAAAGCTCTGATTTTTTAGATCAAGACTGCTTCAAGATTCAAGACCTCATGTACATTCCAAAGCAGCAGTCAACCTTGACCTCTCATGGCCCAAGGCCCCAAAACGTAGTCATAGTCCGTTATCCTACATGTTTTGGGGGGGTCCAGATACTGCCTCTAACATGGGCAAGCCCAGCTACGACTCAGGCAAGCTCATTGCGCGACTCTGCTGGAATCAAGAGACATCGAAACCGCCCCCTGGCTAGTTGCTGGAATGTCGTGTCAAGAAGAATGCGGCATCTCACATGTACATCGTCGCTTCCAACAGCCCCAACAGAAACCGCATGCCATGAGTCCTATACACCGCACGCAAAGTATGTATCAGAGATCGCTTTGCTTGTTGCAAGACAAAATGGCGGACGGTTTGATGAGGCCACCTGACACATCTGATGACTCCTACTTTTCCTGCTCCTCCTCTTCCCCTCCAAATACTATTGCTGCTGCTACTACTGACGGAACGGCAGTTATGCTGCCCCATCATTGTATCGGCTTTGGATCTCATGTGGTATTTACGGACGACCCAGGCGGAGTCAAATCTTCAGACCTCACTTAAAGCTGACACACGTGCTTGGGGTCATAGCATGAGTGCCGCCACCCTCCCGATTTCAAAGCCCCATAAAAGTAAAGGGACCGCCGATCCGCTTGAAGCGCAAGCTAAGCCCTAAGCCCCAAACTCCAAACCCTAAACCCTGCCCGGCATGTCTCATTCTCGTAGCAGTAGCTTCCGGAGACAGCGATAAAATGGTGTCTAGAGCCTCGGAACTCCTAAAAGAACGGCGTCGTCCTTGTTATTCTTACCAATGCAGCCTTCAAAACATTACTCTACAAAGCCTGAAAACAATGCTACTTAAGATCTTATACACCGTCCTGAAGTCTCATAGGAATAACTGGCTGGCCATGCCCCCAACGGCCGTAAATCCCAAACCCTGAGCCTTAAGGATGTTCGATCAGGGCCCAGGTATAGCCTTGACCCCAAACCATGAAACCTACAACCTCTAACGCAAATCCTGTAATCCTAAACCCGAGCTTGCTGCAGGTACGGCTGGATCTACGTGGGCTCCCACAACTTGACAGTTTCGGCCTGGGGAACCATCCATAGGCCTGTCGAGGGGGCCCAACTAGGGTTTAGGGTTTCGGGTGTAAGCTGCTGTCAGTAGTAACTGTTACCCTGGGAAGAACCCCTTCCCCCCTGAGTCTTGAAAACCCGACTCCCTAATGTTCAATATGTCGCGCTTTTGGGCTCTTACAAGATATATTTAGCATTTGGGGGGGCTGGGGAGTATTTGTTCTTTTGGGCTCTTACAAGATATATTGAAGTATTTGATGTCCAGGGGAAAGGGGGTACTGGGGGTGGAGATTCAGTTCCTTGTGGTACTCCGGTCTTTAACAGATTCCTTGGCGGCGGTTCCTGGGAGGCGCTAGATGTCACAAGCATATAACACTCTCTATATATATATATATGCATATTGAGCTATAGTCTCAACTCCTTAAGGGGGCTATACAGGGAATAGGGAAGTATATGAGCTATAGTCAGAACTGCTGAAATGAAGGGGGTTACATAGGGGATTATTATAGGGGACTACCATAGTGGTTGTGTTTATGGCACTAAAACCAATAACTATCAAATTATGGCTCTTTAGGCTACCGCTGATGTTTACGCCAAAGCGCAATGAGGAACCTGAAGCTTTTGTGAGACTGCCACAAGAAGGAACCAGCGCAATACAGAGCCTGAATAACTGCCAACATCGGTGTAGAGTTTAGGGCCTACATGGCTCGTAGAATTACGGTATAGGGTGCCATAAATCATACATAGACCTCACAATCATATTCAGAATAGGTTAGACCCACATGCTGCATTATTACATAATCCCTTTATGTCCACACAAACCCAGCTTCCATCTCGTTTTCCATGTCTTTATTAAGTTGGTGCTAGATTATTGATAATTATCCAGGCCCCTAAACCCCGAACCAGCTCTACATCCCTACATTTCTCCACCAGATTACCGAATCAAAGATTACATCTCCCCATATTGCCCCAAACATCCCTATATCTCAAAGAACCAGTGTAGGTCTGAAATGAGACCAGATCTCCACTGGAGCGGCAATCGCGAGCTGGGCGTGGTACTTGTTGAGCCGAGGCCGCTTAGGGAATGGGTTGAGGGTTTAGAGCTCAGAGTTTAGGGTTGAGGGTTTATAGTCCCCCTTAAGTAGATAGAATATTGGGTATACGGGGATCTTATGAATAGTATACCCAAAGCCATATTCTATCTACTTCAGAGGGAGTATAGGATTTAAGGTTTAGGCTTTAGCATAGGGGGCTTAGGTGTCAGGATTTAGGGCTGAGGGCTCAGGGCTTAGGGTTCAGGATGCTGAGCCCAAAGCCCTACAGGCCAGATGGCTTTTTGGGATTCTTTTCCTTGTCACTCTGTTGATCCAGTTTTGCTGCAGGAATTCGTTGTTAAGCTGCATGTCAAGTAGGCGAGTTTGGCTCAGGAACCTGGCCTTTTCAAAGCTAGGGCCCTAACCCACTGAGTCTATGGCTTTTCAGCGTGTACTTTTTGTTTCGCTGCTCTGGGAGCACCCCTGCTCTGGGAGCACCCCGGGCCTTCGCGGCCATCCCAGTTCCCTGCAAGGCACTTCTGCCAACAGCTCAGCACGCTTGTCGAACCTTTCCCAGGCCTCAGACAACTGGACTCACTCAGGATGCTGCAATGGTTGCGATTCAGGCTTCTGCTCGCCCGCCAGCGGAAGCTGCTACAACCAAAAGGCAAAGCATTACTACCTGGACTGTGCCAGTGCTGGACAAGGCGGGCAAGGCGGGCAGGATGGCACGTCCCGAAACTGGCAGAAGACTTCGGAATACGGACAGCAGCCTCAGGAGCGGCGAGGTGACGTCCACGAAAAGTGGGGCGAGCATGAGCTAACATGCTATTTCTTTGATAAGGAGGACCATTGGTTTTACGGCTACAAGTGCATAGATCAGTACAGTAACCACTTTCTGTGCATGGAGGGTTTCTGGATGTGCCAGGAAACCTGCTGTGGTCTGCGCCAACCTGGCTCCCGTTGAATTTATGTACAGCTTCACTTACTTGCCACTTTTGGGCTACAACATGCTTGGCCGCCTGTTTTCAGAGCTCTTACGCCAGCTGCCATTCACTTGCTGTAGTCCTTGTCGAGGGTCTGGGCTGCGAGCTACCAGCAGCAGCACCTTCCTCTCAGAGATGTCAGCCAGCTTTAATGAAGGAAGAAGACAACGTCGCACTCGGGTAGCACCTATTCTCCAGTGTGCAGAGGATGGGCCGTGGAGTTTAAGGTAATAGGAGTTGCCCAAAATTAGGGTACCATTTTGGGCGGTCCTCATAATAAGCTTAATAAGGATTATAGTATTTGTGAGTCTATATTTGGCCCCCCTACTCAGGGAAGCTATCACATAGTTTAGGATTTGGGGGTTTGGGGTGCAGGTCTATACAGGGTTTTGTATGTTCAGTGCTACCCTGCAAGCAGCCGTAGAAGGGCTTCGCAGAAGAGGCTTCTACGTGCCGGGTGTCCATGGCTGTGTATGAGGATCCCTTTTGTATACCCCTAAGTTTACTATGCTCCCAACTACAAAAAATCATCAAAAAAGACCCGGCCCCCCTGCCCCCCCTCCTCCCCTTTTCAGAAATCCGCAGATAATTAACTCAAGAGCATGGATCCAAAGCTCCAAGCCCGCACACCTTGCAAATCTATGCTTCGTACGAGTCGCTGATGATTCTTCGCATTCTTGTGATCCCGGTTCGGATAGGGCTTCTTGGAGGTTGAGTTAAAAAAACTTGCGAGAAGCTCAATGATCCACAACGGGGGGTCAACATTCATGTTGCTACGTCCCGGAAATTGTCCCAATAGTTCTCAGGTTTGTGCGGCCTTTTAGAGACCTTTTAGCCTTTTCTCACAGCTGCGTAACGATTATTTTGGAGCCACATTAGTGTTTAACCCCTTGTCCTGCAGTCTGAACTGAGAAACCGAGCTCCCGAAGCACACTAACAGTCCCTGGAGCTTGAAGGGGTGTGTATCCCCGCCATGATCCCTGTAGGGATGTACAGGGCATAGGGATACATTACCCAAGAGAATCATCAAGTGGAAATGAACACGCAATATGAAATGGGAAATTGCGTTACACAGCGGTTTGCAGGCTGCAGGCTTTCATAAAACAGGGCTCCTTTCTGCGAGCTCAATAAGGATGACAGTGAACCATCCTTTTTTTTGAGGGGACCTTCTTTTTGGAGATTCCCGTTTAACCCGATATAGAAGTATCTTCAACAAGTATTCATATTCACTCTTCGTAGGACCACAGTACCTACAAGCATCAATAATCATTCACCACCCCCGCCATATGGGATTTTAGGATGCTAGAAGTCGTTCATGGCCAGTACCTTGTTCCTGAGTTCTTTTGCGGAGCCTCAACATGGCAAGTCTATGCTTTTAAAAATTCACAGCTGTCAGGTCCGCTGAGACAGGACTCTTCGCCAACACCCCGTTGCCCTTTGGCTTGTCCGGCGAGCCTGTGTCACTGGCCGCTAGCCTGAGCTTGCCGAGGATGATAGGTCCAAGGTAGGCATATTACGAAACACTGGTGTTATCCATAATCGTAACTTCAAGTGGACCTGGTCATACCTCGACTAGTTTCCTACCTAGGATAGACTCTTCTGAGCGTTCCTGTGGTGCACATCCCAAGAAGAAGACCCGGATGGTCCGAAATTCCCACGTCCGCGCACATAACCCTTTATTGTTCCCATTTTGTTTACTTCATATACTGAAAGGATTCAGAGGCTGCTGTTGAATGAGTGGGGACTGGAAGTCCCGCTGGGAAGCATTACCCTACCCTTGCCGCGTTCGCCGCACGTCCGACCCGTCATGTAGGATACAGCCTTCTAGATCATGTCTGCCCTGCAGCTGCACCACCTTGATATTCAACAAAGACAGGACACCAACACAAAAAAGACATGAACCCCAATTTTACGTAGGCTCCTAACTTACTGGGGACTGCAATCCGTTTTGCACCCAATGCAACCTATACCTGGTAGGTGCCCCTGGCGCAGGGAGTAGATGTATAATCTGAGATATCTGACTTAAGTCCACTTACAGGCATACCTAGTGCTCATATATCTAAACCCAAAGCCCTAAAAAACAAAGAATATGTATGTATACGTGTATACCCTACACTCCAGCACAGCCTCCGCCACGCACCCCCCTTTCAAGCAAGGAAGGGCGCGAGATCTGCGGAGAGGAGGAATGGTGGTCCAGCTGGCATCAGGATGAAGACCTCCAGCAGAGTGAAGGGCTTACCTTGGACTTTCTTTCTGCCCCCCACCATAGGCAACCATGAAAGAGCCAGGTGATCTTATGGTTTTCTGCAGACCTCCTTGGCTTCTCTCATGTATGTCTGAACTGGCGCCTAGATGATTGTCTCCTGAGTGTTCTTTCCAACCCTGGGGCCCCTGGGCCATAGCGCTTTAGCCTAGGTGGTGGAGGGCCTAGGGCATTCCTAACCTCTAAACTCCAATGGCAAACTCAACCCTGAGCAAACAAACCCCAAGCGCTTAAACCCAAAATTGTGTGAGGCGATGATGAAGACGGCCCAGCCAGTGGCGAGGAGTCAAAAGATTGGAGGCGTGGTCTTTCTTTCATGTTTTGTGGTTTAGGCTTTTCAAATTGATGAGCCCCTCCTTTCCTGCTTACATAGGGTATGCAGGGAAGTACAGTGCGTAGGGCTTGGGATATCTTGTGCAAGCGTGCGTATTTCAAGTTTTGGTAGAAGGACCCACTTCAAGAATTGTCCTTTTCAGGCCCTCATACTTCAAGAATTGTCCTTTTCAGGCCCTCATACTTGCGAGCTACCGTTTGGAGTGGTGGAAAGAGCTAAGAATCATTTTCGGTGATTATGCAGGGCGGCTGAATCCACAGCCGCTCCGAAGTTGATGATCTATCGAGAGACTTCAGGGTAATTGCATTTGAAGTGTTCTTTAGAAGGACCCCCCACCCTGTAATAGTGGTATAAGAAGAATATAAGAGAACCCTAATGTAATCCCTCTTATCCCTTATAATCACTATTACTGGGTGGGGGGTCCACCTACTATGGTGTTTGGTGCGCAAGAAGATATGGCAGATCGGGGATCCTGAATGCTGCCCAGCCGGGTCTCGCGTTATGTTGTCTTGGATATCTGGGCTTCCAGAAGTTAGGAGTGTCTTGTTTGGAGGTACCTATAATACGGGTATCATATATTGGGGCATACAGGGGGTCCCCCTTAATAAGGAAGCTACTGTAGTTAATCTGTTTGGGGTAGGCATTGGCATGAGCTCGATTTTGATTGCAGTACTGTCTTACTGGATCGGTGGTAGCATAACTGGGTTTCCCAGTTCTTTGGTTTTGGGGTTTAGGGATTTTCAGTTCAAAGCTGAGAGTTTAGGGTTTAGGGTTCAGTATTCTGGGTTGACACTTGTTGCTGCTAGCGTGCAGCTCTCTAGGATAAAGGGAACTTCAGCTTTTCGATGCCAGTTCAAGGATTATGGCACTTCTCAACATTATCCTAGTTGAGTCTCTATGGAGTCCACATAATCCCACTACTACATCTCGAGCTCCAAACCAAAAATTGGCACACATTTCTGGACATATTCAATGGCTCTGAAATTCCGACTACCAAACAAAGAGAGCTTTTTGGTATGTAACTGAATGTAGATCTCCGGATACTCACAAAAATCAATTCTCTGTGTACGTTTAACATTGTTGTAGACACCGTTTTATCCTAGGTATCCCGCATCTAGGCACTGTCGAAATAATTGCGGCTTTTCACTCCCGCATGAACTTTTTAAATCGGGGCCTTGGGATTCGGGGCTGCGGTTTAGGCTTTAGGGTTGTGGGGTTTAGGGTCAAGGGTCCCTTGTAATGAGGTCGAGCAGGGATCCTTTGGGGCTGCCCCTGACAGCTCCACAAGCAGTGCGGTCCCTTGAATTCACGACCCCCAAAAGCCCATGGCCTATGACGAATCCAAAAATGATCACGTTGTAGGGTCCTGGGGAATGCAAACACTGCACTAGGAGCAGCTGAGACCTGAAACTCTGGAGCTGCAAGGGGCCGAAATGCTGCGATTACACAAGTCCTGGGTGTTAATTTGCCACTGAAAGCCTGTAAGTGTGCACCCTGCGTAAGCTGCAACTTGGAGCGACGGCTGGTTTGCACAAAAATCACCCTCACGTCCTCTAAGGTTCTAGCTCGTCCCCAAAAGTAGGTTAGGCCCAAGACCCAGAAAAGGAGCCAAAAGGGCTACAACTCTATCTACTTTTCATTAGAGTTCAGCTGAGGGCATGCCCTAAACCCTAAACCTGACTGCAGGTTTCGAACCAGTAGCTGGTGGTGGTGGGCGGCCTGAGAGGGGGGCCAACCGCTGGCGAGGAAAAACGCACGTCCACGCCTATACACAGGGATCTTGAAGCCCCCCCTTAAAAGTAGCGTCTGGGTTTATAGGGAATAGTTATGGTGGCACGGGGATATGTGCGTCAGGGATGAGGACTATAGTTTTTTGGGTTTATACTTGGGCCCGCCATTTCTGGAAGCACCCATATGAGAATTCACGATTGCTTTGGGCGCTTCAGGATGTGTGAGTTGTGGAGAGTAGGATAGATTGTTGCAGTTCCGGGATCCGAACCACCGCTTGCGGCCCGTACGGCTTTGCATAAGCTGTATGGTAGTTTCCCAAAAAAGGGGAACCCCAATATAGAC